GGATGTAACGAGATTGGGTTGTGGGAAAGTTATTTTGATAAAAGACAGGCATGTACGATAGGAACGAATGATGAAGTGTGGAAAAGGATTCGGCGGGGTGCACCACAGGGGTCCATCTGCGGCCCAATCATTTGGGATCTGCAGATGGACAGACTCCTGTGAGGACTCCGCGGACGAGGATGCAAGGCGACGGCGTATGCCGATGATCTGTTCGTGCCTGTCGAAGGACAGAGCCGGGCGGATCTGGAGAGAATGGGGAACGAGTGGATGAGAATAGTGAGCGAATGGGGTGCGATTGTCGGTGTGAAAGTTTCAGAGAGCAAAACAGTCATGATGCTCCTGAAAGGGAATATGTCGGAAACGAGACACCCGAGCGTTAGTGTGAATGGGAAGCATGTGAGGTATGTAAAGTGTGAGATATCTGGGTGTGTGGGTGAGCGAGCGAATGAGCTTTAAGCCGCACCTGGAGCGTATGAGACAGAAGTGTGTGAGCGTAGTGGGAAAGTTAAGACGAGTGATGAGGAGCAAATGGGGATTGCGAAAGAGAGCATAGCGTGTGATTTATAAGGGTTTGTTTGCTGCGTGTGTTATGTATGGTGCGAGCGTGTGGTATAAAGCCATGGGGTACGGATATGCGCGAGTGACAATCAATAGATGCCAAAGAGTGGCGATGAGCGCCTGTTTGAATGTCTGTAGAACGGTCTCCACGGAGGCCATGCAGGTATTGATGGGTAGTCTTCCGTGGGACCTGGAGTGCGTGAAAAGAGGTATGACTGTAAGAATTAAGAATGGCTGGAGATTGGGCGAAAGAGGTATTATGAGTGAAGAGGATGTAAGAACGAGAGATGTAGATGAGAGCTGGAGTTGTTGAATGCTAGGTTATATGAAAGATGGCAGAGTGAATGGGACAACAGTGCGAAAGGACGAGTGACACATGGCTTCATACGGGATGTGAGGTTTGCCGAGGTTTGTCTGAGATTTGAGCCGAGCCTAGATCCGACCAGTGATCTAGACTGGTACCACAGGGACCGGTCGCCCAGGGAGCTTGCTCCCGCCGGTCGCGGGTAGGACATCGTGGTGGCAGTGGTTAAACCAAATGCTGGCTAGGATACCCGAGTTCACGAATTTGGGTGTCCGACTGGTGAGCTTGCGTCCCAACAGCTCGGGTGCCAGCCTGCTTAGCTGGTAGAGCGTGGATAGTCGCTCGCCTCGACCAGTGGGTTGCCGCAGGATCCTGCAATCCTGCAGCGCACTGGTAGTATCGACCTCGGTCGGTACGCGCTGATTTGGCGTATCCCAATCCCGCGCCCATGGGGGTCGTGTGGATGAGGCTCTACGAGCAGGTGCCGCACGTTAAACAAACGACATATTCTGTCCCTATCTACTATCTAGCGAAACCACTGCCAAGGGAACGGGCTTGAAAAAATTAGCGGGGAAAGAAGACCCTGTTGAGCTTGACTCTAGTCTGGCACTGTAAGGAGACATGAGAGGTGTAGCATAAGTGGGAGATGGCAACATCGCCGGTGAAATACCACTACTTTCATCGTTTCCTTACTTACTCGGTTAGGCGTGCCCCGAGGACTTCGTGCCCCGGGGGTCACGGTGTTCTAGAGCCAAGCGTGTCAGAGTGGCGTGTAAACCTTGGATTTCTGTCAGATCATCGAACGAAATCGGACAAATGTGTGCGGTGCGAATGTTGATACGTGAATATCTCGAAATTTGTGAGTAAATCATATACACGCTCAATTACGTTCTAAGTGAAATTAAGAAAACATGGCGATCGCGGTTGTTGCTTCCATTGGCGAGCCGCCAATTGTTTCCTGAGAACACAAACTGTAAGATCTTTCACGTTTGCCAAGTCGTTATACGTGATAAATATAACCACGAGATTGTTATTGAATTTGTGTTTGTAGTCGGTCAAATTAATTATCGAAATGTAGGTAAAAAGCACAATTTTACTCTCTTTTATAATATTATTTCATCGCCGAATCAATCGATGCTCATGATATATGCGTGTACTTGTAATTAAACTTCTGAACTCACTTACTTATATAATATAAAGATATAATACATTAAGTTTGTTTTTGCCATAAACTTTGATTTCTTGTTAAAGTTGGGTCTTCTAATGAAAAAAGAAATAATAAATAAAATTAATGTTTATTTCTGATAATGTTTTAAAGCTATATGGTTTTGTGTTTCATTGAGTGTGAGAGACCGTAGGGTGAGTTCAGAAAAGTTAAATATATATGGGACATTCCATGTCAACCGAAACAGCGCCATGCCACGCCCAAAATTTAAGAGGGTTTAAAAATTTTTTTTGGAATGCAAAATTTGTGTAAACATATTAGCTTTCCGAGTGTCCCGGCTTTTCAGGTGAAAAGCAGCTTTCGAAAACGTACCTTCGTATGATAATGGATTAATTCCACATTATACTTGCATACGGCGTTCGTTCGCTGACCGGTGTCCTTTCTGACGCCCCATCCTTTTCCATCGATCGTTTCTCTCAACGATCAGTGTCAAATATGTTGACAGGCCGGCCGTCTCTATCACTAGAAGCTCGTTACGAAAACAAGAGTGCATGCAAGCGTGCAGGGAAAAATATAAATAAATGGAAACAATTTTGACAATACGTAATTCAAACACCACATCTGTAAATTTGGCTTTGTTATGAACTTGAGATCGCTTTGAAAATATCTTATTCAATGTGCGTCGAATTACAAAAGTTTTCCCCTACGTTCAGATACGCTCCGTTTCATTAAGGACGACACGTGTATTTATGAGAAGTACTAACTAGGGGACCATCCCTAGTGGTAGTCGGGGATTTTTTAAATTGGCATCATATAACAGCCCTGGGTGATTAATTAAGCCTTATACATACGCTCCCGTATGTATAGGGCTTAATTATGTTCCATAAGATGTTTACGATATAATAGACCTCTGCTTCAAAGCAATTAGTTTTAAACAAACTTTTTTTTCAAAAATGCACCATTTCGCGAAAAATCAATATATCGAAAAAATCCTACGTACGTCTCTTGCTGTTGCTCTATAGAATCCAAAAAACTTTGATTTTTTGTTCCAGCTCAAAAATTGCGGGAGTTAGGTTTCCGGCCGTGGAAAAAAGGCACCGACAGAGAAATGCTGCGCAGCCGCCATTTTGTCATGAACGAAGTTGAAAAAAATATTTTTTGTACTTCATTACTAGAATTATAAATCCCATTTTACAGAATTTCGATTAATCTCTTTATTGCGCAAAAAAAATTCCCGAAATATGCCTATCTTTTTCGTGCTCTACAGTAGTTTAACCCCTTAAGATTTAACGAAAATTATGGAATGTATCTTATTGTATTCGCCACTAAAGTTATCGGCAGATTTATTACTTGGATTAAGACACGTCAAGGAGTCGATTATATGCACAACGTGTGTCAGAATAAGCAAGCGACGGAGAAAATTAATACAAAACCTAAAGTCATTAATTAGCTGTAGGAAACGCTGTAGGGACGCGTATAATATTTCAGAGACGAGATATTAATATTAATATTGTTCCAAAATTCTAATTAAATCGACCTATATATACATAAACGATGGTTATTTCTGTTATGTTTCTGCGATTACAATGTGGCAGCAGATCGATCATGCTGCTAGAAAATAAACTTAATGAGGATGCTCTGCTGCGCATTGTTTGGATCGTTTGGATCTGCTGGAATATTGCCGGTATTCTGCTAGCATTTAGTTATCAGGATATATAAACGACTGTATTGAAACGCGAAGTTGTGAAATCATACAATTTGACGTTATTATTTTGAGTACGTATACCTGTAGGCAAAGCATAATTTGTGCGCATACGTGTAATTTTATGATTATTGAACGATTCTCCGACTCTCGGAATATGTAGAAAATTAATTGTAAAATGATCGCGTAATGCTGACGGTAGAAATTATCATCGGATTAACTGAAAAGGAACTAAAACGCGTTGCGATGACAGGCCGGTGAAATGTCCACGTTCCTCGCACAAGTCGAAGCCTGCCTGAATTCACGACCGCTGCAGGCTTTATCTGACGACCCGGACGATATTTCCGCACTCACACCGGGGCATTTCCTGATCGGCGCCCCGCTGCTGGCCGTGCCCGAGCCTTCACTCGAGGAGACTGCCGACGGCACGCTATCCCGGTGGCAGCACATTCAGAAAATGCGCGATCACTTCTGGTCTCGATGGTCACGGGAATATATCCACGGGATGACAGCCCGGCCGAAGTGGCACAAAACCGAGGACGTCCCGGACGTGGGAGCCTTGTGCCTCGTGCGCTCCGAGAACACTCCGCCGAGTCGATGGCCTCTCGCCCGGATCGTGAGACTGCACCCAAGGGACGACGGCGTGGTCCGCGTTGCAAAGATTCGGACAGCCACCTCAGAGCTCGTACGCCCGCTGTGCAAGCTCGTGCTACTTCCCTGGATCAAGGACCAGCCGCCGCCGACGGATGCGTGAGCCACTCGACATTTACGATTGTTTAATTGTCGGTCTCGGCCCTCAGCCTATGTTTAATTGCTGTTATTGGCCCTCAGCCTATGCTCAATTGTCTTTGTCGGCCCTCTGCCACTGTTTAATTATCTTCGTTGGCCTTCTGCCACAATTCACAGTTCACGTCGTAAAATTACTTTCGCGCATCACTTTCACATACCACGAACTCGCGTTACGCATATATCGCGAATATTTATGTGTCTTGCTCGGGATCGTCGCACGTTGTGACACTGCGCAGGCGCGCCACGCCGCTGGCGCTCGCCTGCACCACGCGCCGAAATCGCGTTCATTGAAATCGATCGCATATCGATTCTGTCGACCGCGACGTCAGGCGCCTCATCTAGCGAGCCATCGAACACACCGTCCTGTTTCGTCAAGCATGACGAGGCGGGCGGGATGTTTGAGATCGCAAACTTTAGCATCGCGACAAAGTCGCGTTCGGCTGCATGTCAGCACATGCACGCCTGCAGTAAATTGAGTAAAATCAGTAAATTAATATTCGCGTGAAATGCCGTTCAAAATTGTCACGGAAATATTCGGTATAGCATGGATCTTTCGGGATTAGCTTTCTAGAAACGTTAACATTGTCATCAATAATAAAGTCAAACAACAACGCTAGAACAAAGGAACGATCCATGCTATACACAAAACACTCGAAAACAGATGACGACCCCGTCGGGTCACCACGTGAAACCGGTGACGTCAGCTCCATGACGCGGGACTCCGAACGTGGACATTTGAGTGTGCTCTCTCCGATCACTCGTCGCAGGTGATGTTTCGTGGATTTCACCGCTGCCTCCCAAAGTCCGCCGAAGTGTGGTGCGGCAGGCGGATTAAAGTGCCATTTCACACCTTCGGAGGTGACAGAATGGGCGATGTGACGGCCGTCGGCGGATGACGCGCGGAACATATCTTGGAGAACTCGGTCAGCGCCGACGAAATTGGTGCCACAGTCCGAGTAAATCTCCTCGCAGAGGCCTCGACGTGCTGTGAAGCGACGGAATGCAGCCAGAAATGCATCCGTCGTATAGTCGGAGACCACGTCGAGATGCACGGCCTTGGAGCTGAGGCAGACGAACACGGCGATGAAGGCCTTGTGGGCCTTGTGCCCTCGTCCCCGGCTCGTGCGGATGAGAATGGGGCCGGCGTAGTCCAAGCCGGTCCGGAGGAACGGGCGCGCTGGTGTGACTCGTCCTCGAGGAAGATTTCCCATGGGCGGCTGCGGTGTGGCCGCTCGCCATCGCGTGCACGTGACGCACCGATGCAGCATCTGTTTGACCACGGTCCGACCTCGAGGGATCCAGAATCGAAGGCGGAGGAGCCCGAGCGTGAGCTGCACTCCCCCGTGCAGCGTTCGACGGTGGCAGGAGTCGATCAGTAATCGAGTGAGCCATGAAGATGGTGGGACGAT